CACATCCTGAAGGGTCTGTCTCCCTGCTTCCTCTGCCTGCTGAGCTGTCTGAGTTCAGGTCCTCCTCTTCTGCCCAGACCTTCGTTAGTAACTGTCCATTGGCCTCTTAGGCTCTTTCTCTTCCTTACCGCCGGAGTGATTTTTCCAAATTACTCATCTGGTCTTGTTACTCTCTTGAGTAAATAGAGTGAAACTTGAGTAAACTATGTAAAATTCTGAATGACATTGTAGGAAAGGTAAGACACCCAAGGCCATGACCCTTGGCATCCTTGGCATGCCTCTGATCTTTGCCTTGCACATTCGTCCCCACATTTCTAAGAAATCACCTTTTATTCTCCAAAACTATCACCCTCTTTTGGGCCTCTCTCTGCATTTGCTTGAGCTGCTCCCTCTGCCTAATCAGATCTCAACTCTGAGCTCGAGGTGGTTTCCTCTGTTGTAGTCCTTGATAGCCTGTCCGCCTCCACCACCCATCCCTGTCACCAGCAGCCCCCGGCAAGATGGGCTTTCTTCTGGTTGCAACCTTTCCTGTCCTCCATAGCACCGATATCTTTACCGTACTTGACCCTTTCTCTTCCTTTATGAGACTGTGAGCTCCTTTTGCACAAGAACTACCTCCCCTTAATCGTTGTGTATCCAGAGCTCACCAAGATTAACACAAAGTAGACTCTCAGTGCTTGTGTTTGCAAAACAGATGCAAAAATAGGCCAAGTATGTGAAAACACTAAAAAACGTAAAAGTAGGTAAATGTTCTTTTGTAGAAGTGGTTAAGAATATGGAGTCATGTCTGACAAGCCTCAGCTTAATCTCAGTTCCACTTTGCATGAGTCCTGTGCCATTGGTCACGTTACTTACCCTCTCTGAGCATCAGTGTTCCTCATCTGTATTAAGCCAATAACAGTAGGGGACTGTTAGAAGGAACGAATTTATTAGGCCTGCCCATAATAAATGTATAGGGTTGTAAAAGGGAAACTATAATAAAGTTTGAGTTTAATGTTAAAAATGAAAGTCACTGGGCCAGTAGGTGGTGTAGTGGTTAAGGGACCGGACTCCCACATGGCTGACTATGGGTCAAGTCCCAGACCTGGTACTTGAAAATCACACTGGCATATGCCCAGAATCCCAGGAGGAGCGAAAGGGCAAGA